CCCCCCCTTTCTGCAGCAGACCCAGCGTCAGCTTGTTTAACTGAGAGCTGCAAGGAACAGAATTAATTTCAAGCAACCTGCCACAGCTTTTCCAGGAGAGGCCAGCAAAAATCAGATACTGACTTGCTCTCTTTGCTGGGAGCGTTGCCACACATGTGATCTTGCAGTTAAAGCAGGGGATTGAAAGCCTGGGCCACAGTCTTAAGCATCCCGGGTAGAATCAGTGAGCTGTGATCAGTAATCAGTGGTTGTGCTGAAGTTACAGTCTCTGTTTTGGGTTTTTATATGCAGTAGTGCAGTAGCTTTAAATACGCTGCTATTATGCCCAGTATCAGTCTGAGCCACAGAGGTCGTGAATTTGCAAACACAAAAATCTATAGGAAAACTTCCACAGGCTCTAGTAAATACAGAAGTATTAGATCTTTTCCCCGTATTTCTAAGCTTATTTTATTCTGTGATTTAGAGTGGTTATTTCATGTCCCTACACTCATTTCTCTCTCATTTTCCCAGTAATACATCACATGCACGTCTCTGTGACTTTTTATTTTATTCCTTTTAACATCCCCCTCTAAGCTGTAAAGCTTCCTTCTAACAGATAGTCTTTCCTACACAATTTGTAATGGTCCAAGACTGAGTTGGGATGCTTCACTGCCCCCCTATCGGTTCAAAAGCTCCCATCTGTCCAAGGAGGTAAAGAAGCTTATGGGATTGTAGCCAGTTTTGCCATCATATGGCTGATGCAGCAACTGGCCATGTGGGCCTTGTATCCTCAGTGTGCTGGCAGGGTAGCCACTCTGCTCTTCATAATTTATAGGTGATTTGTTTCTTAGAGATAATGCTTAGCAGGAAGCCCACATTGTGCAGGCATTTAAGTTAATGTCTGCTCTAGGGGACAAGTAGAGAAAACAAAAGTGAGGCCAGATGGAAACAAAAGGGGTACCCAGCAAATATTCCCAATATTGTGTTGATCTTTTAGGAAAATCTTTAGTATACCATTGTCCCACAGCTGAGGAGAAGGTGGACAGGTTACCTTTATAGCATTTTTTGCAGGGGCTTGGATGAAAAACCTGTTCGTCCTGAAAGAGATGCTGGTCATCAGGACCATTCCCTGAACAGAGCATCCTGTTTTATTACTTCTAGAAGCTGAGACCTTTTGCTTCAAGTGTTTCTAGATCCTTTTGCCTCCTCTCTCTACCTTTTTTGGTGCAACTGTATCCCTCCAAATGTGAATGGAAAGGCAATGTGGTGATGCTTTTCCTGGATTCCTTTCAGTGTTTCCAGAATCCTGCTGGAAACAGTAACTCTCAAAGAGTTATTAAGAGCCTTTTGGTCTCATTCTGGGTTTGGTCTCTAGCATCCTTTTAAAGTATTAAGGATTAATTGTGGTAGCTGTGTCCTTAATTTTGTTTCAAATACTTCCTATTTTCCACTATAGGTTCCCAGGTGTTACTGAATTGCGGGTTGTCTTTATCAGAAAGATATTGACTGGAAACAACATTGAGCTTCCTTCTTTTCGCAGTGGGAGAAAAGTTCAATCAGAAATGCTAAATTTCCAGTGGGTGACTATCGTTAGGTATTTGCTTCAGGGAATATGAATCTCTTACAATATTTATGATGATTCAGCAACATTTTTTCATTCTCTGCTCTCTTTTATTGTAATCTTTATTGCAAGAAGACTTTGGTGAAGAGATTGGTTTTGCATCAAACCTTGAATATGATAAAATTTATTATAATTTTCATTTCTTATAGTGAGAGAAAGGTTAGCTTTAGAGAAAGGTTTTGTTTTTGTTTTTTTTCATTCTGCAATTATTTTCTTTGTTGCCAACAGCTCTTATTCTTGATGAACATGGTTGTTTTACTGGATCATTTTCTTGGATGGAAAACAGTTTCTGAGATACTTATGATACACATCTCTTTGGTCTTTGGAATTATACCCTTCAATATAAGCTGATAGTAGGCAGCCATGTGTGCATTTCACTGAATTATAAAAGCTAAGTATAGCTGCATAGTTTATGCTAACAGTTTACACTGCTTGAGGATTTGACCACAGGATGGACAACATTGTTCTGTGTTCAACAGCAGGAGGACAAATGTTCGACTCCATTGCCAGAAGCCCTCTGGTGAGAGCACTCCCTCAGCACCGGGAGCATGCGTTGCAGTAGCCAGACTCACAGAGTAAAATGTTCACAGTGCCCTGGTCAAACCCACACCCTTCACTAAAGAACAGTTCTGATTTCTAGTTGATAAAAGCATCCGTGCCCCTCCAGCACCTCTCACAGATGTAGAGACTAGTGCCCTGATATCTGAGTTTGGTATTTCTACCTGCTCTCCTGATTTCTGATATATGTATGCATATATGCTTACAGATGGATGTACCTTCTCTCTACTGCAGGGCTTTCAGTGAGAAAACGTTGAAAACCGGTTGAAATATCAGGAAGTCTAAGATTTCTCCAAGAACGCAGAAGATGGCTGTTCGGGCAGCCGTGCCAGGTCGGGAGCGCCACTGATAGAGGGGAGACTGTGTTACCCCCTCTTGCACTGAACTGGGGAGTGCTGCCCGTGCAGCTCCTCGTTTGCAATTAGGATGTGGGAGCGGCGCGCACCCGGGCAGCGGCGGGGCGCAGGCGTTAAAGCAGCCCC